GCAGCCCATATTATTGAGATCCCCATTTCCTTGCTATCTGTTATCCAGAGGCCCCTCTGAGCTTCTAGAGGTCCCTCTTGGGTCCTTGTCATGTAGCCATCTCCACAACATGGTGGTTTGCTCCTTCAAGGCCAACACAGGAGAGTGTTACTTGAGAAAATGATTTTATGTTAGGTAAAAAAAAAATGCTTTATAACTTTTATGCTATTTATTACTGTATGTACATATGTACATACAATATTTCTATACACAGTTGCATAAAAAGAAACATGATCTTAGGCCTCAGGAGTCTGAGCCTCAATTTCCTCTTCTGGAAAATGGGGATAACAACAGTGTCCATCTTGGAGAGTTACAGGCACACAGTAAATGCTCAATAAATATAAAATGCTAATTACATTAATCCTGAAGAATACAGAGGGCCTAGACACAAGGAGATTAGGTGGGGGCGGGGGAGGGCTCCCTAGGCCAAGGAAACTGCCAGAGCAAAATCCTGGAAGCAGGAAAGCAGGTGGTGGAGTATGGTCATTTGCATAGTGTGCGCGCACGTGTGTGTGTGTGTGTGTGTGTGTTTGTGTGTGTTGACAGAGAAGGCTAAATGAGTGTACTCATTCAGTACTTACTGAATGTTTATTGTGTACCGGGTACCATGAGACCATGCCTTGGTCCAGATGGTAGGGAGCCAAGAAAGAGTTGTGAGTGGAAAAGGGCAGTGGTCTGAGCTGCAGAGGGCCCATCTGCTTCTAGAAGAGAAGCTGCCTCAGCAGGAGGGAACCCCACTGTCTACTTTCTCCTTCCCAGCCTCAAAGTTGGAGGGATGCAACCATTTCCCTTCAAAAGTTCTAAATGTGGGAATTCATGCCGGGCATTCGCAGCCGAGCAGCTCACCTGGGTCCTTGTCCACACTCAAACGTACCCATGGAACACCAAAGGCACCACCCCATCCTCACACCTTGGGCAGGTGGACTAAAACTAAGCTGGGTATTTCACTTCCTGTCACCTGCCTCCTCTTCCTGAAATGAATCCTGTCCTGACTCTCCCCTCTTCCCGGGAGGACAAACACACACAAAGGTCTGCCTGAAGGATGGGACGGGATGTACTGTTTAGAAAGCATGGAGCCAGCCACTTTGCAGATGGGAAAACTGACTTACCCAGGGCGCCAGGCCATGAGCCCAGGATAGAACCGGGAATGAAATTCGGATTTACCGACAATCGGCCAAGGTCTTTTTCATGGTGTTCACACACACACACACACACACACACACACACACACACACACTCACACACACACACACACACCACCCTCAATTTAAACACCTCTGAGTTGAACAACAAACCTTCCTGAATAGAAATTCTAGGGGTATGGCCCCTGGCTAAGGTATGGGCCGATTTGTTGGTGGGGAATTGAGGGATTATGTCTGCCCTAGCTGGCTTTACAGATTAGGTTTTTTCCCCGTCTGTCTCAGTTTCTTCACCAGTAAAATGGAAAGAATAATATTATCTACATGAGAGGGTTGTTGTGAGGATTCAGTTAATCCTCAACACAGGTAAGGACTTTGAATAGTACCTGGCACATAGAAATCCCAATAGTATCATAATTAATATTTTCATTTAACTGTAGTTCTGGAGACTAGTAGGGGACAGGGGAAGGCTCTGTTTTCTAGAGTGATCAGGGCTCCAGGTTTTGACTCAGATCCCAAGCTACCCACTGGTCTTTGCCTCAGCCTTGCCCTCTACCTGAGAGGGGAAAGAGGGAGAGACCAAAGGGGAGGCGGTTCTCCAGCAGGACTCATACCTTCGAGTACACGCATGGTCTCGTGAAGGACACACCCAGGCTGACACATCTCTGCCCTTTGAAGTGGGGGGCCCCAAGCCATTGAGGAGCCCCCAGGGCTTGGTGAGGGCAAGCCTCAGGCCCAGACAGGAATAGAAGGGTGGCCTCTTGACCTCCAATCCTGGAGCCCATAAAATTGGGCAGGTGCTTATATCTGAGCAAAGATTGGATGGGCATGGGCATCTGTAAACTCCATGCATGTGAGCTCATGCGCACATCTGTGTATGTTTGTACATGGATGCCTTCGTGTGTATGTGTAGATGTTCATGTCTATCCAGCAGTAGCACTTTCTAATTGGAAATGAGACTCCAGGATTACCCCTAGCATGGTGCCCACTGCCTCTTTTTACAGTGCTTAGGCCCAGACCAGGGTCCCAGAATACTAAGCTCCCCACCACCCCCCACCACCAGGGTCAGTAGATGGCTCTGCTGCTTTTTAATTCTAAGCAGATGCCTTGACCTCTCTATGCCTCGGTGTGCTTCTTTTTCTCCACTGTAAGATGAGTTTGGATGAATTAAGATCTGAGGTGTCCTCCAGCCCTGATAATAAATCTTGCAGTAGAGAGTGATGGGTCCTGGGGTTCCAGGAGAGGACTCCACTGGGCTAAAGCCCCCTACATCCACAGGCCCCTCTGACTCTACAGAGAAACGGAAGACTGGAATCTGCCCTAATAGCCTGTACATGGGGTTCAGCTAAGTCTGGGAACAGAACCCAGCTCATTTAGGATATCAGAGTATATGCCAGGAGCCCCTTCCCTGGGCTTGGGGAACGAAAATCCTGTGCCCAGTAGAATGCTTCCTATACCAGTGTAGAGGGTCCAGGTGGGTGGGGGTAGGGATGCCAACCATCCATTTGGGAAGACACACACACACACACACACACACTTAGTCATCACCACTGCTTGTTTATCGAACAAACAAATCACTGTCCTTCCCCATGGGTGGGGAAGGCTGCCTAGAGGAAGAAGGGGTGAGTAGAGTCCTGAAGACAGAAAATATATGAATTCAGAAAGACCTGAAGAGGGCATTCTAGGCTGTGGGAGAGTGGGAGAGTGCTGAAGAGACAGTGAGGAACATGACAAGCTGCAGGTAGGAGAAGTGGGCAGGAAGCAGGAGAGGGCTGGACCTGGTTCATGAAAGGCCACAGATTCTGTGTTAAGGAGTGTGATACTTTGGGAGCCACAGAAGTTTTTAGAACAGGCAAACGGTGTGATGGGAGCGGCATGTTAAGGATTATTTAGCTTAAGTCAGCAAGGAGGTCAGGAGAGGACATGAAGTTAGCAGGAACTAGAGGTAAAAAGCAGAAGCTCAGGGTTGCACAGAAGGAGGACACTTTGGGACATCACTCCAAGGGCCAAAATAATGCTCCCCGCCCCCCCCAAGCCTCTGGGTATTATCTCCCGGCTTCTTCTCCTAGTTGCTAGGGCTGAGGAGTCCCTCCGGAGTTTCAGACTAGTCTGGGACAGGATTTTATGACTAGAGCATGAAGCTCCCACCTAGCTCACTCCCTGCCTCCTATTGGGCCAGATCGGCAGCTCTCAGACCCACCCCCACCCATGCTGCCCCACTGAGAGAGAACCTCTCGCCCTGGAGATTTGGAGGACATGTATTTGTGGTCTCTCCTCAGGTATTTCCCAGGGCATTGGGAGAGATGGGGGTCTAGAATATGGGATTGGCAGAATCCTGAGGGTTGAGAGTTTGAAAGAATCTCTCGAAGCTTGGATATGTTAAATGTGACAGAAAAGGAAATTGAGGCCCACAGAGGTAACAGGACTTGCTTGAGGCCACACAGCAAGTTTGGGGCAGTCAGGACTGGGCCTAGGTTTCCCTGGAGAGGCCGAGGCACCCCGGGGATTAGATACATGTAGAGAGTGAAGGGGATTGGGTTCAGATCCTGGTTCTATTTATTATAGCTTTGCAACCTGTAGGAAATGTTAGGCTCTCTGAGTCTGTGTCCTCAGCTGGAAAATGGGGATAATACTCACCTTTTGGGGTTGTTGTGGGGATCAAAACACATATAAAGTGCCACAGCACAGTGCCCGGCACTCAGTGTTTAGTAAATGTTAGCTAGTGGTCTGGCAGAGGCAATAGTAGGTACAATGTTTGTTGAATGCATTATTGAAAATGAATCCACAGGGGCGCCTGGGTGGCTCAGTCGTTAAGCGTCTGCCTTCAGCTCAGGTCATGATCCCAGGGTCCCGGCATCGAGCCCCACATCAGGCTCCCTGCTCAGTGGAAAGCCTGCTTCTCCCTCTCCCACTCCCCCTGCTTGTGTTCCCTCTCTCACTGCGTCTGTCAAATAAATAAAATCTTAAAAAAAAAAAAAAAGAAAATGAATCCACATACTGACAGTGAGATGTGTGAGCCTAAGTTTCCCCTTGTGTAAATTGGGACAAATAATCCTTGTCCCGTCACTTTTCTGTCCAGCCCTGGTAGCAATATGGATTAAATAAAGTATGAACGCTCCACTACAGAGCTGTCTCTAGATGAGCTATTCAGCCCAGGACGATTCCTCTCCGAGTCCCACTCTGCAAAATTTCCCGTCAGCCTCGCCAATTCCCCTACACTCCCGGGTGCTCCCCTGGAACCAGGGAAGGGGATGTCCTCCACCTCTCTCATGCCTGCCCAGCTGAGGAAAAACAGTGGGAAAGCAGAGAATGTGTAGGGGTGAGGAGTTGAGACAAAAGAGGGAGGGAGAGCTGGGAGAAGGTTGGTGGGGAGAATGCAGGTGCACGGACGTGGTGTGGAGTTGACAAAAGGGTACAGATTGGGGGACAAGGATAGAGGATGCCGGCGTAAGGATATGGGGGACAGTGGGATGGGTGAGGGCGCTGGGATGTATGGACGGAACGCAGGAAGATGGGGATCTCGTAGGGAGTGGGGACCCTCCTCATTAACAGGTCCGTGGGTCGCCCTGCGGCAAGTAGTCGAAGCTCGCACCAGTGGCCTCTCCAGGGGGCCCCCCCCCCAGGCTCGGAGTCCGGCTCCCGGGCAGGATCCACCAGCCGGCGAATCGTGGAGGGGGGTGGGGTGGGGGTATCCGCAGCCTGGGATTGGCCACCGCACTGCCGGCCAGTGACGCGAGGCGGGCGGGCCCCTTTGTGACGTCACAATCAGCTGTTTGAACGTTCCAATTTGTGCAGTGAGCCCGGCAGCGGCCGCACAGTCTCAAAGCCCCGCGGGCGAGCGCAGCAGCTGCGAGCTTCCGAGCCGGAGCCCCGCCGCCTCCCCGTCCAGCCCCCGCGATGCAGCCCGGCCTGTGATCAGCGCCGACGCCCGGACGCTCCGCCGCACAACTACCTCAGAGCCCCCCGGCCGCCGCACCGCCCCCTCCCCCAGGTGAGTCCCAACCGGCTTCGGCCCGGGGGGGGGTCCTGCGTCCGGAGACACGCCCCGCGGTCCCCGCTCCCGGGTCTTTGTTTCCGCCCGCGGCCGCCGGGCTGCATTCCCATCTCCCGATTGGCTGCCGCACGCCGGTAGACCGTGACGTCTCCCTATTTGCATATGACATTGAGACGTCACCAAGGCCGGCACCGGCCCCCGGCTCGGGTCGCCTGTCCTCCCGTGACCCAGTAGGCGCTGGGTCGGGGCTGGGCCCACGGGTGAGGGACGCTGAAAGGCAGCAGGACCGGAGGGGCCTCGGCAGTTTCCTAGGCTAACCCAGGTTTCGGGGTCAGGCCTCCGATCCCCTACTTTCTCCTTGGGTTCGGGCGGCGCTGCTGGGTCTAGGCTGGGGGGCGGGTGGTACTCAGCAGTTCAGGGGCAGCCAGAGCTCCAGCTCTAGGTCGCTGGGGCGGCGCCAGATGGCGGAATACCCTCTCTCCAACTCCAAGCTCTGCACCCCCCGGGACTACCGTAACATCTCACTGCTGTGTGCACTTTAGCTGATGTCACTCCCAGCCCCCAAACAAGGGGTCTTAGACGCCATTTCATGCAAGGGGAAACTGAGGCCCGGAGAGGGGAAGTTGCTTACCCGAGGTCATGAAGCCAATTAGATTCATGCCTACTGAGTGAATGACAGATGCATTAGCCACGGCACATGCCTGGTAGGAACTCAATACAAGTAACAAGTTACACATCCTTCTAACACTGGGGACTGACTCTACCTTAGGCTCAGTACCATCCAAATTCGATGGGGCTCTTAGGTCCCCTCATTCCTGGATCTTTTTCCAGGAGGTCTCTGGAGACGGGGTCCCCTTCTGTGGCCTTGACCCTCACTCTGTACCTTGGAGTCCCAGAGCCCAATAAAGTCACTGCCTCCCAGCTCTTTAGACCACAGAAAGGTGAGTCATTGGCTGCATCAGGTTGTCTCCAGGACTGATGTTGGGGTGGGATGGAAGGTGAGAGTTGCCTCTGTTTGGCCCTTTCTTACCTTCCCAAACCCCAGCATTGTCTGCCAAGAAGGACATGACCTGACCTAGTGCTGGTGAGGAGTAGGGTTGTGCTGCCCCTTTCTCTGCTCACAGAGAAGGGCAGGAGAAAGGAGTAGGAGAAGGAGAGCTTCTGACTTTCCAAGTGGCCGGGCCCAGAGACTGGGCCAAGAGTCCCACCCCAGCCCGCTTTGCTAAAGGATGGGGTGGGGTAGAGATGGCTTGGAGCTCAAGTGCTATTCTGGGCACAGCTGCTGTAGTTATTAAAGGGAATGGTTCTCCCTGGAGCAGGGCTGGGAATGTGAGAATCAGGAAGCTGGCAAAGATGGGAAAGAAAATCCGGGAGGCTCCCCCAGTGGTCATGAGAGGGGGCGGGCACTGGCTGGCTGGTGCACTGTCCCTCTTGGCTCTGTCACTTAATTGCTGTGTGACTTCAGGCAGGGAGCTTCCCCCTGCCGGGCCGCCTTTACCTTGATCTGTGTGTCATTAGAGGAGACCCATTGCAGGTTCTGCTGCACAGCGGGTGCTCTGGTAAATGCATGGTGAATCTTGGTGTCAGGCGCTCCAAGCCCTTTTACAGCTGGACAGAGGGGTTCTGAGATGAGAAGTGACTCGCTGAGTTCTGACTCCTCTCTGACCTCCCTATGGCTCCTGCATCATTACCTTTTGGGGCTTGTTTGCTGAGGCTTCCCTGACTGTGTATACTCTGGACTGGATGTTTCATGACCTGGGGCTACACCTGCCTGGCCACCGTCTAGCTCTATGTCTTTCGATAGACTTATTTCCTCGGATTCTCAGGTTGTAAAATGGGCCAGGTGAATATGATGGGCGGGCAACAGTTCTTAACTTCCCTTTCATCTTCTCACTGAAGTAGTAGGTTGTTGCAAGAAGGGTGTGCCTCATCAAGGCTCCAATCTTCCCTTCCTTCAGGAGGGGCCAAACTTTCTGGATTTTTTTTTTACATAATTTTTTATTGTTATGTTAATCACCATACATTACATCATTAGTTTTTTTTTAATAATTTTTTATTGTTATGTTAACCACCATACATTACATCATTTGTTTTTGATGCAGTGTTCCACGATTCATTGTTTGTGCATAACACCCAGTGCTCCACGCAGAATGTGCCCTCTTTAATACCCATCACCAGGCTAACCCATCCCCCCACCCCCTCCCCCAAACTTTCTGGATTTTTGGTAACTGAGTCACTAACTCCCTATGGCTAACAGATGGGTTGGGATATGTGGCTTGTGCTGGGCAGACCCTAGTTGGGGGTGCCCAACCTTTTATAATCTCTGTAGATCTCCCACCAGAGAAGCCAGCACCCAGGGAACACTTTCCTTCTGGAGCCCACTGTGGGTCTGCAAATGTGGAAATACTCTCAGTTTATAGAGGTTGGAATGATTCTGGTGGCAAGTGTGAAAACATACCCAGGGAATGGGAGAGGTAGCAACAAGCATAAAAATACCTCAGGTGGGGGACGCCTGGGTGGCTCAGTCAGTCAAGCGTCTGCCTTTGGCTCAGGTCATGATCCCAGGGTCCTGGGATTGAGTCACGCACCGGGCTCCTTGCTCACAGTGGGGAGCCTGTTTCTCCCTCTGCCTGCTGCTCCCCGTGCTTGTGCTCTCTCTCTCTCTGACAAATAAATAAGAAAAATCTTAAAAAAAAAACCCCAAAACCTCAGGTGGGTTAGCAATAAGTGTAGAATGCCTCCAGGGAATGGAAAAGTGGACATGCCCCCTTCTACAGGAAATGTGGAATCATCCCTAGAGGAAGGTGACAAGTGTCTCAGTAGCAAAATGGTTGACCATCTTCAGGGGACAGATGCGGAGGCTCAAGTTTTGGGACATCCAGGGGACCCTTAGCCAGGCCTAGTCCTAAGGTAGGCTGAAGTGGGGAGAAGGGCAGATCTATAGCCACCTCCTTGGTGTCTCCATTCCTGGACCAGGGGGTCTCCTTCCTCATTTTCATCCAGGGAAGGACTGATTTGAGGGGTTGGGTCCTGGTCCAACCCTCAGTGCTCATCCTTAAGGGCTCCTGGGGTCTAACAGGCCCACCCTTCATCATCACCTCCCACTGACCTGCTGTTTCTCTGGGGCCAGGCAACCTGATCTTCCTCCTAGCCAAGAATGCTGCCCTTGAGCAGGAGCTTAGGTATAGAGGGGGAGAGGGGGAGGGCCCAAGGGAATAGGATCTTAGAACCTTGTCTGACAGACACAAATGAGAGCTGTACAGTCACATGGTGGCGGTTCTGTGGGATTTCTGCCAGCTAGCACTTTTCAAGCCAAACAGGCTCAAGTAGTGGTTCTTAATATTTGGGGTCAAGGAGTGATGCTAGGAAATCATGATGAAAACTTCTTCCCAGAAAAATACTTTGGCCACCAAGTTAAAAACACCTAATCTAGACTAATGTCTAATGTCTAATCCAGCAAAAGCAATGGAGTACAGTGATAATGGGTGCTGCCTATGGAATCTGATAGCATGGGTTTAAATCCATCCTCTGTGTCTTATTAGCTGTTGAGACTTTGTGCAAGTTACCTTATCTTCCTGAGCCTCAGTTTCTTCACCTGTAAAAGAGGGCTAATAATTAGACCCACTTCCTAGAGTTGTGAGAAGTACCAGTGGTGATATGTAAAGTGCTTAGTACAGTACCTAGCACATGAATGTTAGCTATATTATGATGATGATAATAAGTAATCACAATATTGGACAGTTTCTTCATTGCTTGGAGAACTTCAGGGTCCAGCTTGGATGTCCAACCCTCTGGAGACCTTTCCTGATAGAATCTGGTCATATATATATCACTCCTTCCATGTCCCTAGAGCATGCAGTAATATTAATAACTAATTGATTCGTTTATTGAATGCTTACTCTGTGCCTGAGTATGGCTCTAAGCACTTTGTGTTTGGTTCATTTAATTCTTAGTGGAGCCCAGAGGAGGATACTATTTATTAGCTCATGTAATTCTTACAAGGGCCCAGAGGAAGGTGTTTTATCATTGGCATTTGGCAGATGAGAAAACTAAAGCACAGAGAAGTTAAATAACTTCCTAAGGTCACACAGGAAATAGAAAAAGCCTGAAAGCAGACGGACTTACCGGATCGTGCACACACCGCAGAGCTTCCCCACACATCCCTGTCGTACTCTTACTGCGCTCTAGGGGCTGGGGGTGGGATCCCCAGCCCGGAGTCAGGGATAGTGACTAAAGTCGATGGGGGCTCTGACTCCTTCTCCGCACCTCGCAGGTTTCTACACTGCCGTAGGACGCCCCCCTGAGGCCGTTTCATCCCCGGCCATGTTCCAGCGCCTCACCAGCCTCTTCTTCAGTAACCCCCCTCCCCCCGAGGACCCCGAATGCCCCCTAGCCTTGGTCTCCGAGGAGGATGAAATGGACGGCTGGCTCATCATTGATCTGCCGGGTGAGGCCTGGGTCAGGGGCCCGGACTTTGATTCCTGGGCCTGTGAAAGGGCAAGCGGCCGAGCAGCGGAGGGGAAGGGAGCTGCTAAGGCACTGGGGAGTTCTCCCGGCCTACTGGGCAAATGGGGCCGAGGCAGTGACACTGAAGGCAGGGGTAACAGGGCCCCATCCCACGCAAAGCCCGGGCCTTCTCCTGGCAGCGCAGCGTTGGGGCCCACACCTCACGTGCCCTAGGGCAGCCAGTCGAGACTCCTGGCCCGTGGGTGCCCCGTGGGCGCGGCGGGCGGGGCTGCGGGTCTGACTAACGATGCCCTTTCTCTCCCCGCCCCACTGTGTCCGGTGTGTGTGTGTGTCCCTCCCCGCTGCGCCCCCTCCTCCGCATGGCTCCCCCTCCCGCGCCCCGTAGACAGCTACGCGGCTCCACCCAGCCCCGGGGCCGCCCCTGCCCCCGCAGGCCGCCCCCCGCCCGCGCCCTCCTTGATGGACGAGAGCTGGTTTGTTACCCCTCCCGCCTGTTTTACTGCAGAGGGGCCCGGACTCGGGCCCGCCCGCCTCCAGAGCAGCCCCCTGGAGGATCTCCTCATCGAACACCCCAGCATGTCCGTTTACGTCACCGGCAGCACCATAGTGCTGGAGCCTGGGCCCCCCTCCCCGCACCCCGACGCTGCCCTGCCTGACGGCGACCTTAGCGAAGGGTGAGCGGGCCGGGGACTTGGCCTGGAGACCTGGAGACCGGGGAGCGAGCCCAGGAGCCCGCCCCGCGCCGAAGGGGCGGAGCCTTTAGAGGCGTGTCTTCGGGGGCGGGGACGAGGCTCGGAGCGGGCCTGAGGGGAAAGGGGCGGAGCTTTAAGAGAGGGCGAGGCCGGGCTTCGTGGCCCGGGCGGGGCTTGGGAGAGACCGAGCTGCGAGGCTTGCAGCGGGTTTGGCGGAGGGGCTAGGCGGAGCGCCGAAGGGGTGGGGTTTTCAAGAGGCTGGCTCGGAAGGTTAGAACCGAATTGGCGGTGGGAGCCGAGGCTTTCCCTGGAGTCCGGTTTACCCGTTGCAGGGGTTAGAACGGAGGAGGCATCTCCAGGCTGGCTCGGAAGAAGGGTTGGGACCCACTAGAAGGGCACTGGGCGCTCTGCTAAGAGCAGAGACAGCACTGCTCCAGGGCGAGGGTGCGGGGACTGGGTGGGCGGAGTGTCCGGCCCTGACCGAGCCCTGCTCTGTCCCCGCAGGGAGTTGGCGCCCGCCCGCCGCGAGCCCCGGGTCCTGCACCACGCCGCCGCCCCTGGGCCCGCGCGGGCTGCGCTACTGGAGAAGGCGGGCCAGGCGCGGCGGCTGCAGCGGGCCCGGCAGCGGGCCGAGCGCCACGCGCTGAGCGCCAAGGTGGTGCAGCGGCAGAACCGTGCCCGCGAGAGCCGTTCGCGGCGGCCCAAGCACCAGGGCAGCTTCGTCTACCAGCCGTGCCAGCGCCAGTTCAACTACTGAGGGTCCTCCGGCCGAACCACAGACCCCTCGCCGACTCCCGACCCTGTCGGGCCCCTCCGCCGCAGCCAGTGTGTTGCTCGAGGAGCGCCCGCAGCCCACCTGGGTGGGACACTACAACCTCCCTCCTCCTCAAGTGAGGTGGGGTGCTAGCCCCCCTCCCCCCTCGATTTTCCCACCTCTGATCCTCTGATCTGCCTCTGAACCCCCTCCTGTCCTTCACCCTCCGACCCCAAGCCTGGCATCTAATCCTCCATTTCCTTCCCCCTTGACACTCCATCTTTCCCTCCTTCTCTGGTCCCTGTCCCCATATCTGCCTTGACATTCCCCTTCATCCTTGCCCTCCGGTCCTGTACCTCTGGCCCACTCCTTGTTCCACTAATCTCTTCTCCCACATCTAGCTCTTTCCCCGCCTTCAAGTCCCACTTTACAAGCCTCACCCATTCTCATGTTTGGCACTATGCTCACTCCTGCTCCTTTATTCATTCCCAGTAATTCCCTCCCAAATGGATGGCGGAGTGGGCCCTGAGGCCAAAGGGCTCTGCCTTTAGTCTCCTCCTTCCCTCTCCCCTTGGAGTTGTTTAGGCCTGGAAAGGTAAAGTATGTAGAACAGGGCTGTGAGATGTAAGTTGGAGAAGGTGGAGGGAACTGAGGGAAAGAGGCAGACTACTGGAAAGGTAGACAGGACATACAGGTTAAGAAGCTGTAGGGAGCAGGGCACCATGGGAACTGGCACTGTGCTTGCTCAGAGAGGCCAAGCCCTCCTCTTGGGCTTGAGCCTGAAGTCTGCCCCCACTTTCCTTGCCTATAATCCCACTTCCCAATTCTCTTTAGAAATCCACTCCTCTGCACACCCCTGAGTCTGAAGGGCTTAGTACCTTGTTGCCCTGTCCCCAACATGTCACCCCAGGAGTAGAGGCTGGGCAAGGCCCTGCCATCCTGGCCATCTGTTCACATGCCCAAGGTGCTAGAACTAGTTTAGGAGAGATGCAGGCCAGAGGGCTTGTAGGCAGGGAAAGTGCACACCCCAGAGTAAGAATGCAGAAGAATGATGCTGGGGAGGACAAGCTGTGGGGTGAAGCCATCCCAAGGACAGCTCAGCCTTCATGTTGCCTCTGGCCTTGTATTTCACACACTACCTAGGATGACTAATAAACACTCCTGGATAGGAAGCCAGGAGCCCCACTGGCCCATTCCCCAAATAGTTCTAACCCAGGGTCGGGGCCTCACATTTCCTCCCCCAAGGCTCTTCCTTTCTAGTCTGATGGGGAGAAATGGGTGCCCTATGGTTCCCCTTGCCCTCTCCTCCAGTGAGTGACTGGAGGAGGGAACCTGAATCCCTGGGTGAGACAAGAGGGGACACAGGCAGACAGTGTTGCCCTTCTTGTAGTGGGAGTGAATTTTGGGCTCAGACACCAGCAACAGCTTCTTGGGATACCCCAAGTTGCTTCCCTTTTCCTCTAACTGTCCTTTTCTAGTGTGTGCTCTTTCTTCCTTGAAACTTTTAAGATTTCCTGTTACATATTAACATAGGTCTTCCCCCTCACTCCAGTTCCAGGTTTCTTGGCCTCACTGCCAAGCTGAGGCTTGGTTGGAAAACTGCGATCCCATGAGGGTAAAGGCAGCTGCCCTCCCTGATCCTATAGCCCCCAGCCTCAGGTTGGGTATATGGATAAGGGAGAGGGGTAGCCCGTGGTTGCTGGGATGGGGACAGAGGAAGTTCCTGTTGGGGTCTCCTATCCAACGGAGTAAACCAAATCTACAGTAAAGGCAGATCAAAGTCCCTACGCCAGTCCACTAGGGCCCCAGTAGTTGACAACCTTGCTCCTTTCACCAAGGTTCTCCTGCAGTTACAACCTAGTTGTTTTCTTCTTCCAGCTACCCTGTGGTCACTTCACAGCCAGCTTAGGGTCTTCAGCACTTCCAAGAGGAGTTTCAGCTCCCTGCCTACCCCTCTGCTGCCGGCTGGGGCAGAGGCTCAGTCCTGGGCAGTCCCTATGATCCTTCTGGGGCAGGTGGGGAGAAGAGTGAGTTATAGGGCATTTGGTTCAAATTTCAAAAGGCCCCTCCCTTACACATATTTCTGGAGGCTCCTGTAGTTCTAGAACTCAGCAGTCTCACCACCTGGCTGGTAAGGCTCATGTGTTTTTGTACTTTCCTGTAGATCTGTAGCATTTGAATATGTCTAGATTCCTAAGAACCAACGCTACTCAGTCTCCTGCTAGTCTGACTCCTGAAGCATCAGAGCTCGTCCTACTGTATTGACTGTGTGCCTTTCACCTTGAGCATGCTTCAGGATTTTCTTTTTCTTAAACCACAGAACTTGAATACATGAGGGAACCTGAATTCACAAAGTCCTATGCAACCTTAGACAGGAGGGGGTGAGAGAGTCCGTCCTGACTGATGTTTTCAGAGACTGTGGAGAAGTTTGTATTAATTGTCAATACTACCAGCACTTTGCCAAAACTGAGTATGTCAGAGGGACCCCTGTTTCTAGAGTGAGACCCAAGACATCAAAGGGCAACTTATAGTAATTCCTCCATACGTCTGAGTGCTCCCTTCAAGCTGGCTGTCACTTTCCAGCTTTTGCCAGTTTGGCCCCAGCAGGGTACCATGTGTGTATGAATGCAGTTTGCGGCTGTTTTGGGGTATGCCTGCTCCCTGACCCCCACCTAGTATCATGATCAATTTGTTCTAACCTATAATGTCTTAGATGCAACAAGGACCCCACTAGAGCTCTTGGATGCCTTCTCAGATCCATGTGGCTTTATGTGAGGGGACTGAATGCAGACACATCGGAGCCCCTTGTATCTTCCCTTTTGCCTTGCCACCTAGTTCCATATGGAACCAACAAGTTGAGTGTATCCCTCATAGGTGTTTTGTGTTGAGACTGGCTGAAATGAGAAGACTGTGGTTGATCATGTTGTGACATGCTGACAGACTCAAGGACACAACCACCTCGATCCAGTCATGTGGCATGCCTGTGTATGTGTATAACAGGATTCTGATTGTTAGATTTTAATGTTATTCCTCTATGGGAGAAAAAAATTAATATAAAAACAAATAAAAATCTATTTAAAGCACATTATGCTTTCTGTCTGAGTAGAGCACTTTGCAATCTCAAGCACAGTATTGGCACAGGGATTATTAGGCTGGCTTTGGTTCTGGTTGTGTGTCATACATACATGGAAAGAGGGAAGATAAGCTTGTCGGGAACACAGCCAGACAATTGTGGGGTCTGACTCATAAATAACTACTTTTGGAGGATCCTTATAACCCAAGACATATATAAAGACAGTTGAAACAGAGATGAGAGTGAGAGCATGATAGAGTCACTGACTTATCCTTTTGGTTTCAGGCATTAGGTTCTGGTAAGGTCAAGAAGACACTGCAGGGGAAGGGACGGACTCTGTGTCTAGCTGTAGAAGATACAGCAGAAGGCTGAGGCCCAGACCAAGCCAAGGACAGAGCCCCAAGCATCAGAGTCTCCTGAAGGTTGGGAGTAGGGTGGGGACAGAAGCAGTAGGTTTGGAGACTGTAATTTTTAGGTAGGAATTGAGCCAGGAAAGGGAAAAACCTGGGCATGCTGATGAGAAACCAGCCCCAAGCCTGATACAGATGAGAAATAGGGCACCCAAAGGGTAGAAAGTAGTGGGCATCTTTGAAGTATATCAAGTATATAACACAAAATGACCCCTTTTATGTGGGAGCTGCCTGACCTAACCATAGAATTGGACTGAAGGTGGAAAGCTGACCTAAAGTGGGCTTGATTCTTGATGCTGTTACAGAGAATCTGGCTAGTCAGTCTGGGCTTATCTCTTGAATGGAGGAGACTGTTAACATTCTGTGCATGGAGAAACAGATGTATGAGGTGGAGAAAAAGTGCATCTGGGTTACCGATGGCTTCCTGTCCCTCGAAAATCCTGGGTGGTCTTTGATCCTAGGTTGATTCTGTTATTTGCAACCAAAACAAATTTGACCAACATTTGTCAAAGTGCCTGGTACGTGCTGAAAAGGGGTAGTTTCTTCAAAGCAGGTATAGTAAGCACAAGGTGTGATTCTAATTTACAAAGAAGGCTGTTCCTACTCATTTATGGTCCAAAGAAAACGTGCTCACCCAATAATCCCTTACCAATAACATACATTTATGTTCTAGGACAATGACATTTATTTAACACATTCAGTATTTCACATTGTACAAACCCTTAGATTCTCTTTATTCACTGGTCCATTTCTACAACAAATACATCCAAAACACTATATAATAAAATTATTTACAACATTTCCAAATGAGAAGATTCCTTTTGCTCCCTCTACTGCTATTCACACACATAACTTCCACAGCACAATACATCATTAGAAGATCTAAAAATGCTCACCCTGTACTCTAGGCTGCTTAGGAAATATGAAAACTAATAACATAATCGCATTAGCTCCTCTCAATACATGGCAACATTTTAGAAACCTCGAACTTCATCTTGCAACACCAAAAGGGTTCAACAACTCTGCTTTCCCCATTGCACTTTATGAAACAGGTTGCAGGGCCTAGGAAAAGGGCCATATTATTAAAATGACTAACTGTACAGAAATGGATTTTAAAAAGTCACAGCTCAAAATTGCTTTTTGTAAAATTCACACACATTTACAAGGATCAAGTCGCCGTCCAGCTTGTTTACTTGGATTTTCTTCGCTTGGATTGCACCGCGCTGGTTATGTCTGTGGGGGGAAAGGAAGGACATGCTCAGCTGAGGCAACTCTTTATGGCAGTGATGTTTAGTCCACAAGAAGCAGGGCTGGTCTAAGTGGGGCTCTACTGGACTCTGAATAAATCGAAGGGCCTCAAAAGGAGCACTCAGTGTGGAGACGGTCTCAGGCTTCTGTGGGAAGAGGGCCTGGCTCTGTATACTAGGGTCTGGCTCCTGGGTAAGTCTGACACAGGCGGTGGGAGATGAAGCACACATACCCAGTTGGAAAAAGTGGCAGGGTGGGGGGAGCATCTTGGGCTGGGCAATTAGCCCTACAACCTCTATCACCAGTGAAATGACAGACAGACGGAGTCCTTCTGTGAGAAATCAACGAGTCTTGCTACAAGCAAGTGGTAAATTGTGCCAGAGTGCAAAAAAAAAAAAAAGCCTCTGGATCCCTTTTGGAGTCAAGCCATTCTTTTGCAGTAAGTAACTCTTTTTGCTTTACTATAGTCAAAGTCTCTAAATAACATGACCATGACCGTGACCTGTGGTCAACAAGTATCTATTGTGGCCTAGCCAGGAATATCAAGGCTGTGGATACATCTAAGCATAGAAAACAATTCAGAGCAAGCCACAGCCTGCTCTGAGCCCAGGTGAGCCTGCAGGCTTCATGGAAGAGTGGGGAACTGTGTGACTTATACACAGAGT